ACACATAGGAGTATGTAGACCCTGGATCAAATAGTACTGAAGCATCCTTACTACAAACCAGAACAGTACCTGTGATAACTGCATCGGAAGCCTCAGCCTCAGGCCTGGCTAGAAGAGCATAACATCGGGGCTGGGCCCCACCACTCTGAACTACATCTCTGGGACGGCCTCCTGCTGGCTGGCCTCGACCTCTAGCGGCCTGAGCTCCACATCTAATACCTCTACCTCCACCTCTAGCACCCCTACCTCCACCTCTAGCTGGCTGAGCAGGCGGTGGAACACTCGGTACCTGAACCATGGCACGGAAACCTGGTGCTGAGAACTGCTCGGTGCTCGAGGGCAAAATCTAGCAATATGCCCCGTGTCGCAACAAGTAAAACAAGCCCTCGGCTGCTAGGACTGACGACCCTGAAAACTCTGAAGCGGAGATGCATTGATAGGAGCTGGCGATGCACTATTAAACTGCTGATCAGAATACTGCATGTGAGAACCACGGCGACCTAGGGCACTATGAGAAGCCTGTAGTGCTGAATGAAACGGCCTGGAAGGATGGCCTCTACAAAAAGAATCCCTGCCTCCAGACGAGGCACTACTGAACCTACCAGAATGGTGAGGTCTCTTGTCAGACCCCTGACAAACCCCCTGTGATAGAACCATCTCAACTCTCCTGGCCACATTGGTCGCATCCTGAAAGGAAATCTCGCTCCCCGTCTCCTTAGCCATTTGAAGTCGAATAGGCTAAACGAGTACCTCAATGAACGTCCTCACTCCCTCTCTCTCTCAGTGGGAAGTATAAGAAGAGCATGACGGGCCAAATCAATAAACCCGGTCTCGTGTTGAGTAACAGTCATAGAACCCTGCTAGAGACGCTCAAACTACCTCCGATAGTTCTCCCTAAGAGTGATAGGAAGAAACTTCTCCAGAAATAGTTGAGAAAACTGATCCCAAGTCAAAGCTGGTGACCTAGCTGGTCTAGCCAAACAATAATCTCTCCACCAAGTCTTGACGGATCAAGATAAATGAAAAGCAGCGAAATCGACCCCATTGGTCTCCACTATCCCCATGATCCTGAGAACCTCATGACAGTTGTCTAAATAATCCTGGGAGTCCTCAAAAGATGCACCGCTCTAAGTGGTAGTGAAGAGCTTGGTGAACCTGTCTAATCTCCACAAGGCATCAGCAGACATAGCTGGCCCCTCTCCGGTCTGTGCAACAATACCAGGCTGAAGTACCCCAACTGGCTGAGCTGCTGGATTCTGAAACTGGGGAGCCATCTGCTCCGGAGTGCGAGTAGCATGAGTCTGGGCTCCTCCTCCAGCCTGAGAGACGGCTAGTGCCACAAGAAGTAAGCCTGCCTGGGCGACACTCTCCATCGCATTTTCTACCTTCAGCAACTTTCCTAACAAGTTTGCGGTCCATTATGTGGCTCGCAAACCCGTTATGTGATCGCAGATTGGACCGCATTTCTTGCACTGGACTTTCGCCATCAGACTGTTGTGGTTTGCTATTCCTTGTGCATTATGCGGCCCGGATGTTGGATTTGCGGTCCACATTTCCACATTTGCGATGCATTTTGCTCTTTTCTTGTCTTTTTGTGGCCTTTTCATTTCATTTCCATGCTCTTAAGTCCTTAAACCTTATGCACTGCAAAAACACTAAAATTACATAAGTATAAAAGATAATTGCATTTAAAACAAGCTAAAATCTAAGCAATTTGTATTAAATGTGCCGAAATTCTCCGGCACATCAACACCCCCAACTTAAACTCTTGCTTGTCCTCAAGCAACTAAAACGACACTATCCTATTCTAGATTCAATATAAAAGATATGAAACAATAGTGACCGTGAACAGTGTAAGTTGTCAGTACTGCAAGCATGCATTTTCGATTGTTTACCCTTCCTGAACCATCAATATTTACAAAGAAACTAATCAACTTGTGAAAATTTGAGCCTCGACCAATTTGACAAAATGTTACCCTTAGCTGAGTGCACTTGCATTTGACTCAAAACTCAACTTCTGTCCAACCTCACAATTCATGTGCCCTCACTAGAAAGAAAGTCCCAAACTCACAATATTTACAATGACAACAAAAAGGGACGAATTCAAAAATACACTCACCATCTGCGAGAGAACTAAGTAGAAGTTCAATTAGCATTGAGAAATCAAGTCGCACGACATGAATGAATAGATGTGAAGTTTTTAGTAACTCTGTAGCCTCTGGGGGGATAAATACAGACGTCTCCGTATCGATCCATCAGACTCTACTAAGCTTGTCCGTGAATTGTGAGACCTAAGTAACCTAGAGCAGTGATACCAACTTGTCACGACCCGGATTTTCCATCCTCGGGAGTCATGATGGTGGCTACTGGTGAAAGCTAGGCAAGCCGAGTGTTGTAGATTCATTTTCCTTTTTACTTAGCCTTTTTAACAGTTCAATATAATAGGTGATCAAACAGCAAAAATATTAAAATAACTAGAAATGCGGAAGACAAAAACTTAATAGTTTAACCAAACATTGATACATGAATCCGAAATACAACTCTACCTAGAATCTGGTGTCACAAAGTCACGGACTATCTACGAATACTACAAACAGAGGTCTGAAAGATTTATACAACGTTGTCTCTGAAATACATAAAAGAAATAGAATGAAAAGGTAGAAGGAGACGCCAAGGCCTGCGGACGCCTGCAGGACTACCTCGGGTCGCCTGATGTACTGAAGGCAGCAACCTCACTGCGGTCCAAAAGCTGCGGCACCGAGTGTAGTATCAGCACAACTAACCCCATGTGCTGGTAAGTGTGTAGCCTAACCTCGGCAAAGTAGTGACGAGGCTAGGACCTGACTACCAAATAAACATGTGCAGTTAAATCATATACAGTTGAAAAATAAAGGCAGGTATTTACAGTTAAGGATGGGAGGGGGAAAGCATGTTGCGGGGAGTATCAGATAACAACAGAATACCAATAGAGAAATGTAAGGAAACCACAATTCAATTGCCAACAAGAATAAGGAAAATCAGAAAAACCGTTGCCGCGTGCAAACCGATCCCATTTCATATCAAACCATTGCAGCGTGCAACCCGATCCTATTTCACATAATACCGTTGCGGCGTGCAACCCGATCCCATTTCACATAATACCGTTGCGGCGTGCAACCCGATCCCATTTCACATAATATCGTTGCGCCGTGCAACCCGATCCCATTTCACATAATACCGTTGCGCCGTGCAACCCAGTCCCATTTCACATAATACCGTTGCGGCGTGCAACCCGATCCCATTTCAAATAATACCGTTACGGCGTGCAAACCGATCCTATTTCACATAATACCGATGCGGCGTGCAACCCAATCCAATTGCACATAATACCATTGCGGTGTGTAACCCGATCCTATTTTATATAATACCGTTGCGGCGTGCAACCCGATCCCATTTCATATAATACCGTTGTGGCATGCAATTCGATGCCATTTCAATTCAACATCAATCATAAAAGAATCCCGGCAAGGGAACAAGAGCATAACAACAACATCTCGACAAGGGAGACAATGTCATAAATAATAACATCCCGGCAAGGGAAATCAACAATGATAATCATCATATTAGGCATGAATAAATCATAACGGTGTCACAACAATTACAATACGAGACTCACGGGCATGCTTGACACCAACGTATAGATACTCGTCATCATGCCTATACGTCGTACTCCACAATTAACACATAGCAAGTAAGACACAATTCCTAATCCCTCAAGCTAAGGTTAGACCAAATACTTACCTCGAAGCCACGAACCCAATTCAAGCCTCAACTACCACTTTACCTCTTATTTCCACCACTAATTCGCTCGTATCTAGCCACAATTTACTTAACGGTATCAATAAATGCTAAATGAATTAATTCTAATGCATGAAAATAAGTTTTCCAATGATTTCCCCAAAAAGTCAAAAATCGACCCCAGACCCACATGGTAAAAACCCGAGGTTCGAACCAAAACCCGATTACCCATTCACCCACAAACTCAAATATATAATTTATTTTGAAATCGGACCTCAAATCGAGGTCCAAGTCCCCAATATTCGAAAATCCTAAGTTCTACCCAAAACACCCAATTTCCCCCATGAAAACCCTTGATTTTAAGTTGAAATCATGTAAAAGATGGATTAGATTGAAAGAAATGAGTTAGAAATGACTTACTAATGATTTGGAAGAGTAGTTGCCTTTGAAAAATAGCACAAAGATGTTTTAGGTTTGAGAGAGTTTGAAAAATAAGAAATTTTCGGCTAAGTTATGATTTATCAGGTTGAAGATGTCGCAATTGCGACCAGGGTTCGCAATTGCTAACCCTTAAGGAACCTGCTGACTTCACAAATGCGAAGAATTTGTCGCATTTGCGACCATGGGGAAGTATTGTCACCTTCGCATTTGCGAGGGACATGTCGCATTTGCGACATCACAATTGCGAGGAAATGTCACATTTGCGACCAAGGCCTGCCCAACCCATTCTTCGCAAATGCAAATGGGTGTTCGCAAATGCGAGCTCGTAATTGCGAGCCCGGCTTCACAATTGCGAAGCCTGCAGACCTGCAACACACAACAGTTTTTCCTAAGTTCAAAACACTCCGAGACCTATCCAAAACTCACCCCGAGCCCTCGGGGCTCCAAACCAAACATGCACTCCAAAAATATCATACGGACTTGCTCGTGTGATCAAATCATCAAAATAACATCAATAACTATGAATATAGCATCAAAATCAAAGAAAAATCTCATGAACTCTTAAGTTCCATTTTTAACAACCGATGGTCCGATTCACGTCATATCAAGTCCGTTTCTTACCAAATTTTACAGGCTCAACTTAAACATCATATAAGACCTGTATCGTGCTCGGGAACAAAATTACAGGCCCGATACCATCAAATTCAATCTCATTTAGATTTCTAAAAACTCTTATAATTTCAGTTAAACAATTTTCTTCAAAAATTCATTTCTCGGGCTTGGGACCTCGGAATTCAATTCTGGGCATACGCCCAAGTCCCATATTTTCCTACGGACCCTCCGGGACTGTCAAATCATGGGTCTGGGTCCATTTACCCCAAATGTTGACCGAAGTCTACTAATTCATTTTAAAAGCATAATTTATTATTTTTCACAGATTTTCACATAATGACTTTTCGGATACACGTCCGGACTGCGCACGCGAATCGAGGTGAGATAAAAGGAAGGTTTTAAGGCCTCAGGACAGAGAATTTACATTCAAAACAAGTGATGACCTTTTGGGTCATCACAGTTACTTCCGTCAAAGGATCTTCTAGGCCATCTCCTAGATTGGGTGCCTGCATAAACATAACATTATATACCAAGTTAACATATATTGATATCTAAATAAGCAGCACATATAAGCAGGAACGAAAAACACAGCATGGAACTTATTCAAAATTGTCAGAACTATTCAGTCAGTATATAATGGAACAAATGCCTAAGAAAAAGGAAAAAACAAAATACATTGGACAAGTCTTTGCGATAAGGAAATCTGTAGTACTCTTTTTTCCATTAAAAAAATAAAATAAAAATAGTGAATGTAATAAGGAGCGAAACTTGGACAAGAAACGACTGAACTAGATCAAATACATTTAAATACTCCAAGAATCACATATGCAACAAGATTATTGTGCATTTATGAACAAGAAGAGTATGAAAGTGAGCAAACTCCTCAGAGCACTCACTGAAGAAGGATAGGGCTCTTCTTCTATAAATTCATATTCCACGCCCTTAATCTTCAGAGCCCACTCAAATCTGCGACTAAAAGGACTGAGTGAAACACCAAGCAACTTCACTTCTTCCATCTCAATAATTAAGTTGTCTGGATTATTACTTTACTATGTTTAAGGAAAGGAAATTTATGTGGGAACCACAAGTGTCTTAACAACCAAGAAAATGCAATGTTTCTTGATCAACAATTCAGTTGTTGCATCTTTTTTTATGCTTCCAAGTTGACTGGCAAAAGAATTGTGACAGTTTTTATTTTTTAATTTTTTGACTAGTTAAATATATGCATACTACAAAGTTTTTCAATGTGGTAAACATGTTTCTGAGGGACTCAAGTCAATCCATAGTGTAACACTATGGTCAAATAATCCATAGTGTAACAAGGAAAACCCCAATAATAAGATCAGTGCATCAAAAATATATGTTTAGGACAGCATATGTCAACAAAATAAAGAGAAGACTTACCTGTGAAGGAGTCGGAAATAAGTGAGCAAACTCCTTGGGGATATTTCCTATTTTCATTTGAAATAAGCTTGTTGTGATCTCATATTTGCCATCGCTTGCACCCATTGTGGAGGTGGAGCACTAGTGCTAGTTGCACCCATATAAGAACAACCACCTAGTCTTGATGTGTGCTTGAATACTACAGTTGGAATTGCCGCCATGCCCAAGCCTCGAACACGGCCAGAGTGCTTGGGATCGAAAACTACACCAAGCGCGTCATTTGGTGAAATTTATGCCAGAGTTTCTGGTCTTTGTCTTCGAATTTCTTCAATTCTTTCCTACGCGAGAGACAGAATATAATTACAAAATCCTACTATAATAGATTATGTACTACAATGAGTTAAAGAATTTTCAACTAAATAAAGATAAAAAGAAGTTATTAGCCTTATATTAAAAACCAGAAAGAAGAAATAGCTAAAGATGCCCAAATATACATTCAGATTTCTTGAAAAAGTTATTAAGAAACAGATGTGTAGCCCAAAACACATCTGTTCTGCTAAGAAACAAAATATACATTCAGAAATGTAACCAGAATCAAAGAAGATAGTGAAAAAGCAAAGGGAAAGTTATTAAGTTTATGATATCTTCGTTTCCTACCTCAATTGGTATCCATCAAAAGCAGCAATAAGCTGCAGCTTGGAGAAGTTGAATGTCCTATTTTCAATTTCATTCTCCCTTTTCATATTGGTTTAAAAAGAAACATCTAATACGATAATGAACAACCAAATAAGCAAAAAACTCAGCATACAATCAGAACTGAAGGGGACAATATAGATCAGAGTTTCATATTGCAGTGTTTCATGTATTATACAGTACATTTGAATTCTGTTGTTGTAATCAGTGACAGAAACACTCCATGTCATTTATGTTGGCATCAAAGCTTGAAAACTAACAATAAGAGATCAATACTGTCTAGAGGAGGGGACAATACTCTAGACAGATAGCAGTAAAGGATAGAACTAAAGTTCTTCCAGAGAATCAGACAGAATATCTGACTTTAAGCTAGAACAAACAAATTACTGATGGAGGCAAATCCACATAAGAGATCAATCTTTTCAAGGGCAAACTATCACTGGTATTCAAAACATAACTCGGGTACTTCATCTTCATCACCGGCAAGAATATTGTGGCATTTTCCCACTAACAGGAAAGTAAAAGAAGAAAGCAAAAAATAGTGATCGACACTTACCCCAATCTCCCTAGCTTGATCATTCACATAACTCCCATCTTTCCTCTTATGAGTCTCAGGCCACACTTTTCCGCGATCAACTTCTTTTCCCTGTTTCTTCTGAAAGTTTTAAAAAGTAAAATTAAACTAAATAACTCTTGTCACATTAAAGCGATAGTAAGACGTCGTATTAAACTACCATCAAAGCCCTTCTTCTAGCCAAACTCGTAGCACCACTAGTATGGGGAACTGTTTGTTGTCCTCGAATCCGTTGATTTCTCAATCAAAGCGCCTACGAGTCAAAGTAGGAAATCTTTTGTTACATATAAAAAGCGATAAGGGGCCCATTGGTCCAACTGAGAAATTAATGATAACTTAAGGCAGGAAAGAAAATCCACATTCATGCCAATTTTTATCTAGTCAAAAAATAGTTATGCCCGGTATAATAAGTTGCTTAGGTTCCAACAGAGCAATAACATATTGAACATAGATAAAGATCCCATTAATAATCGCCCCAATATTACTGTGCTCTTGCAACAGGCTCTAGTTCTTCAATAGTTTGGTTTTCGGCTGACTACTACAATAGTAGAACTCTATACCAGGTGACTGCTATAGTAGTTGAACATAGATATTGATTCCAGCTGACTGCTACCGGACGTTAATTTCATATTTTAATTTCCAATCAATTCCAAGAGTATCTTACTGCGGGCCCAATTGCATTAAGCAAAACGAAAAAAGGAAAAAAAAGAAGTCACATCAGTGGCCAAGATGAAGCAGCGAAACAAAAAAGGGAAAAGTAAATAGAAGCAGCAGCAGCAGAGACAAGTAGTGAAACAAGAAGAAGAAGAAGAACCTTTGTTTCCTCTTCTGAATGATAGTTAACATACAATGCCCAGTGGTCCATGGGAATGCCTTCTGGAGCATTCTTGATGATATTTTCTTTGCTCAATAATGGATCCTGAGCCTCATGCCATAGTTTAAGCCTGAATTCCTTCCACTTTTTAGTAAGCGAATTGTTAATCCAACCTTTTACCTTTTGCGGATCACTTGTAAAGAAAAACCGAGACTTCACAAAAATAATATATGTTAGTTTACTGCTAATAGAACTATAACATACAAACTAAGCAAAAGAATTAAAAGGCATTACCATTACGAAATCATTAAAAGCACGGTTCACAAAAGGTTTAGGCATGGATGCCCAACTCTCGAAGCAAATAGGAAACTATCGAGGATTTGTAGCAAGCTGCCCCAAAAATACTGCAAGAAGGCCGGTTGATTTTCCAATAGGTTGATCAAACTCATCAAATTCTACAATTATACACGATCCATTCTCCAAGATATGGACATCCTGAACCTTCAACCTAATAGATTTTATCACTTGACGTTCATCTGCAACAAAATAAAGAACATATAAAAATATTAATCGAGGAAAACAAAATCATTTTTAATTTATATGTACCTATAACATCGACAACCCAATCACGAGGCTCTGAGTCATCTATAACTTGTCTACGTGTAGTTGGTTGTTAAGAGACTCTATTAGTTGATGAAGATGGAATGACATTCTGTGACGAGACTCTATTAGTTGATGAAGCTGGAATGCCATTATGTGACGAGACAATATTTGTTGATGAAGATGGAATGACATTGTGTGATGAGACTCTATTAGTTGATGAAGCTGGAATGCCATTCTGTGACGAGACTCTATTAGTTGATAGAGTTGGAATGCCATTTTGTGATGAGACTCTATTAGTTGATGAAGATGGAATGATGGTGTCACGACCCCAAAATCGACCCGATCGTGATGGCGCCGATCGTGAAACTAGGCCTGCCAATTAATTTCCAAAACAATCCACATTTTATTTAAAAGCTTAAGTAAAACCATTTTTCAACTGAAATCTGATAAAGATATAAAGTTTAAATCAAACAAAGCGGAAAAATACAAGCCCGATCTCGGGTGTCACTAAGTCATGAGCAAGACAGTCTGGAAATACAACAAAGTACTAATAGGAAGATAGAGAAGGAGAAAAGCGGGACTGCGGTCGCCAGGCAGCTACCTCGCTATCTCCGTGAAGTCTGCGACTGGAATAGTCAACAGCCGCTACCGTGCCCTGTGATACCTGGATCTGCACACAAGGTCCAGGGGGTAACGTGAGTACACCAACTCAGTAACTAACAAGTCCAAACTATGGACTGACATGTAGTGACGAACCAAATCTCAATAGGTAATACAATTTAACTGTACAGAAAAGTAGACATACTTTCGGTTCAAGTAGAAACTCAACAGTAAATAAATACAGTCTGAACAATACAAAATATAAAGCTCAGGAATCTCTATGTACCAAAGCACAGATAGCATGACCAATGTTCCGTGTACCTCCTCCCACAAGTGCTCAACCACTCGGTACTGTATATGGCCATCCGGCCTAGGGAAGATCTATCCCGGAATATATACACATCACTGACCGCAGTCACCCGGTACCGTGGAAGTCCATTCCAGCCCCATGGAGAAGATCCATCTCCAAGTATAAATACTTCGGACAAGATCCATGTCCAGGGAAGATCCATCCCTCAATATCATCAATTGCGCTCACTAGGGGTGTAAAGACTCCGGAGGGGCTCCTCTTAGCCCAAGCGCTATAACAAGCCAACGAAGGCATAATCAATATCTTGCTGTGGCGTGAAGCCCGATCCCATACTATCACTCAATATCAGGCTCTCGGACTCACTCAGCCATCACTCTCCAATCTCATACACACGAGATCAAAATGTCATGATAGTAGCCCGAACAATGATATGATGTATCAAATAACAATAATCGAGACTGAGGCATGATATAATATGCATGAACAGGACTGAGTACAGAATATCAATGAAGCAAATGATATGAACGCAAGAAACGACCTCTCGAGTCTCAACAGTATTGGCGTGAAGCCTTAACATGATAATTAGCGTGATTTACAGCTCATTAACTTAATCACATAATTACAACACAGATATCAGCAAGAAAGAGTCACTAAGTGGTGCCATGGAATGATCCAGACCGCGATTCTCACGGTGCACGCCCACACGCCCGTCAATTGGCATTTGCGTCACCTCAATAGTAATCATAGAACACATAGTTCGGGTTTTTGAACCCTCAGAACCAAGTTTGGAAGCGTTACTTACCTCAAATCAAGCCAAACTCTAGCCCGCGATGCCTTTTCCTCTCGATTCGGCCTCCAAATGCCACAAATCTAACCAAAAATCAGTACATATCATTAATACACGCTAAAGGAACAAAGCCCAAGCGAAAATAATCAAATCAACTCAAAAATCCCGAAATTGGCCAAACCCGACCCCCGGTCCCACATCTCGAAATTCGATAAAAAATCACATCATAAGAATCTTTATCTTCCCACGAGTCCATACATACCAAGAACGTCAAAATTGGACCTCAAATGGCCCCTCAAGTCCCCAATGAAAACTCTCCAAAACTCAAGCCCTAGCCTTCAATTTTTAACCCTTAAATCCCACTAATTTCATGTCTAATTAGTTAGAAATCACCATAAAATCGAGTATTGGGTTCAAAAACCTTACCTCCAAGAGTTACCCCTTGAATCCCTCTTCAATCTCTCTCAAAAAGCTTCAAACCCGAACACAAATGGTGGAAAAATGACCAAGTTTCGCGAAGGCCTCTATTTATATGTTCTGCCCAGGGGTTCCGCATCTGCGGTCCTATACTGCACCTGCGACCCCCGCACCTGCGACAAGAAGTCTGCATCTGCGGAATTTCACTTAAAGTCCCCATCCGCACCTGCGATCAAGCCACCGTATCTGCGGGCTCGCAGGGGCGACTAATCTTCCACAGCTGCGATGCATCCCCAACCAATTGGCCTTCGCTCCTGCGATCAGAATGTCGCTTCTGTGGCTCGCACCTGCGGTCCCCAATCCGCAGGTGCGGTAATGATAGAAACACAGCAGCTTCAGCTGCAACTCTATTTTCTAAACTCTCCAATAACCCGCCGAAATCATCCCGAGGCCCGTAGTACCTCATCCAAATATACAAACAAGTCACATATCACTATTCAAACTTATTCCAACCTTCGTAACACTCAAAACAACATCGAAACACCAAATCACCCTCGGATTCAAGCCTAAGGATTCTAAAACATCCGAATTCCGCAACCGGTCCAAAAACCTATCAAACCTCATCCGAATGACCTGAATTTTGCACACTCGACAAAAATGACACAAAAGACCTACTCCAATTCCCGTGATTCCATTCTGACCCCGATATCAAAATTTTCACTACCAACCGGAAAACGCCAAAACTCCAATTTTGCCAATTCAAGCCTAAATCTACCACGAACTTCCAAAATACATTCCGATTACACTCCTAAGTCCTATATCACCTCACTAAGATATCTGAACCATAAAAACCAAGTTCCGAGATCATTTACTTACAAGTCAACTTCTGGTTGACTTTTCCAACTAAAGCTTCCCAAAAAAAGAGACTAAGTGTCTCATTTCTCTCCAAAACCACTCCGAACCCGAACCAACCTACCTGATACCACATGATACAAATGAACAACACATAAAGAAGCAGAAATGGGGAAACAGATCAGTAACTCATGAAACGACCGGCCGGGTCGTTACATCCTCCCCCTCTTAAACAAACGTTCGTCCTCGAACGAGTCAAGAAACATACCTGAAGCCTCAAATAGGTGAGGATATCTACACCGCATCTCCCGCTCGATATCCTAGGTAGCCTCCTCCACGGGCCGACCTGTCCACTGCACTTTCACTGAAGCTATATCCTTTGATCTCAACTTTCGAACCTGTCGCTCCAAAATAGCCAATGGCTCCATATCATAAGTCAAATTACCGTCTAACTTAACCGTGCTGAAATCCAAAACATGAGATGGATCGCCAATATACTTCCGGAGCATAGAAACATGAAATACCGGATGCACACTCGACAAGCTAGGTGGCAAAGCCAGCTCATAAGCCATCTCCCCATTCTTCCGAAGCACCTCAAAAGGCCCAATGAACCGGGGACTCAATTTACCCTTCTTCCCAAATCTCATAACACCCTTCATGGGTGAAACCTTCAATAGAACCTTCTCCCCAACCATGTAAGACACATCAGGAACCTTCCTATCAGCACAAATCTTTTGTCTTGACTGCATCGTACGAAGCCGCTCCTGAATCACTTTCACCTTGTTCAAAGCATCATGTATAAAGTCTGTACCCAAAAGCCTAGCCTCGCCCAGTTCAAACCAACCAACTGGAGATCTAACACCGTCTCCCATACAAAGCCACATATGGAGCCATCCGAATACTCGACTGATAATTGTTGTTACGTGAAAACTCCGCGAGCGCTAGGAACTGATCCCATGAACCCCCAAAATCAATGACACTAGCACGCAACATATCCTCCAATATCTGAATAGTGCGGTCGGACTGCCCGTCCGTCTGAGGGTGAAAAGTTGTGCTCAACCCAACCTGAGTACCCAACTCTCGCTGCACGACTCTCCAAAACTGCAATGTAAACTGAGTACCTATATCTGAAATAAAGGAAACTGGGACACCATGCAAGCGAACAATCTCTCGGATATAAATCTCTGCTAACCTCTCTGAAGAATATGTAGTACACACAGGAATGAAGTGCGCGGACTTGGTCAGCCGATCCACAATCACCCAAATAGCATCGAACTTCTTCAAAGTCTGTGGGAGCCCAACTATAAAATCCATGGTGATCCGCTCCCACTTCCACTCTCGAATATCTATCTGCTGAAGCAAGCCACCCAGTCTCTGATGCTCATATTTCACCTGCTGACAATTGAGACACCGAGCTACAAATCCCACAATATCCTTCTTCATTCTTCTCCACCAATAATGCTGCGAATGCTGCCTCAAATCCTGATACTTCTTCGCGGCACCCGGATGGGTAGAATACCGCGAGCTACGGGCCTCCTCCAGAATCAATTCCCGAAGCCCATCTACATTGGGCACATATATCTGGCCCTGCATCCTCAATACCCCATCATCACCAATAGTCACATCTCTGGCATCGTCGTGCTTAACTCTGTCCTTAAGGACAAGCAAATGAGGATCATTATACTGGCGCTCTCTGATGCGATCAAACAAGGAAGATCGAGAAACCACACAAGCTAAGACCCGACTGGGCTCCAAAATATCCAACCTCACAAACTGATTGGGCAAGGCCTGAACATCAACTGCAAGAGGTCTCTCCCCAACAGGAATATATGCCAAACTGCCCATACTCACTGCCTTCCTACTCAAGGCATCGGTCACTACATTGGCCTTCCCCGGATGGTACAAGATGGTGATATCATAGTCCTTTAGTAGCTCCAACCATCTCCGCTGCCTCAAATTGAGATCCTTCTGCGAACAAGTGCTAGAGGCTACGATGATCAGTAAACACCTCACAAGACACACCATACAAATAATGCCTCCAAATATGCAATGCGTGAACAATGGCAGCCAACTCCAAATCATGAACATGATAATTCTTCTCATGGGGCTTCAACTAACGAGAAGCATAAGCAATCACTCTACCCTCCTGCATCAACACACGCCCAATACCAACTCTCGAAGCATCACAATACAATGTATATGAACCTGAAGCTGATGGCAAAACTAACACTAGAGTTGTGGTCAAGGCAGTCTTGAGCTTCTGAAAGCTCGCCTCACACTCATCCGACCACATGAAAGGAGCACCCTTTTGAGTCAATTTTGTGAAGGGTGATGCTATAGATGAAAATCCCAGAACGAACTGATGGTAATAGCCCGCCAAACCAAGGAAGCTGCGAATCTCTGTGGCTGAGGACGATCTGGGACAACTCTGAACCGCCTCTATCTTCTTCGGATCAACCTGAATACCCTCACTAGACACCACGTGCTCTAAGAAAGCCACTGAACTCAGCCAAAACTCACACTTAAAGAACTTTGCATAAAGTTTCTCCTCCCTCAATCTCTGCAACATAACTCTCAAATGCTCCGCGTGCTCCTCCTGACTACGCGAGTATACCAGAATATCATTAATGAATACAATAATGAACAAGTCGAGATAAGGCC